CAGAGCAACTGGAGCAAGAAACCCCCAAGCATGTTTGGGAAATGGTAGAAGTCTATCATAGCTGCACATGTGCTATGTGTAGTGAGGCAGTTAGGGATCAAATTGGAAGGTAGGCTGGGGCTACCCTCAGGAGATTTTGAATACCAAGCAGAAACATTGTATTTAATTCTTAGGCAGTGGGCATCCATTGAAGGGAAGCTGTGTGCGCGCGACTTGTTTGTTGTTTGTTTTAATCAAGAAAAGCCTTTGATTAAAGTGGGCTTTAGAATATTATCATGGTCTAGGGAGAGGAGGGAAGGCAGTGGATTAGCACAGGCAGTAGCCACAGGCAGGAAAACCCATCATTAAGATGGAGCGGTGTGACGGACTAGAACTAGGGTCCAGCAACAGACATAAAAAACACGTATATTTTGTTTGCAAGGAAGACCCCATAGGGCACGGCCACTGCTTTGCATATGGGGGTACATATCTAATGAGCAGCCAGATTAGAAAAGGCAGGATTGTCACATCTTACATTCTAATACGAGGGATTTAATTTTTTAAAGCCCAATTCTGTTGAAATGTTTAATCCAAGAAGCAATAGCTTTTGAGAATTAGTCCTACTGTATTCAAATCATTATTAATTGATGCTTTATATTTGTGGTGAAGGAATTTTAAATCAGTGGTACCCCACTTTGCCTAACAAACGAATTTCCAGAGTTTACTAAAAACAGAGTATCAGACTCTTGCCCTTGAAGATTGACTTAGTGGTTCTAAGATAGTATTTGTGAACCTAGATTCTTATCAGTGGCCTTGTGAAATTCTTATTTGTGAGCTAGAAAGCTTGAGGAGTAGGGCCTTAAAGAGCTTTTTCACTGAGCAGTTTTTGTTTGAAATGGGGGTCATTTGTATTCTAACGATCCTCTTTTGCCTGCTCTCCTCAACCTCTGCTGTCTTTTGATTTCTACATGCTCAAATTGAATGAAAATTCCTGGTAGATTTGCATCCGCTAAAAATCATATTTCTGAAGCTGCCCAGGCACCAGAAGACACAGCTAATCATCCATATAAATAAGAAATGGAGTTCTTGATCAAGTGCTGCTGGCAGTCAGCTGGGCCAGTGTACAGGTGTGGTGGGTGGCTCGTGAGAAGCAGGGACATAAAGCTGCCTGCAGCCACTAGCAATGACCCTCTTAACAGCCTCTTGGGAAGCCTGAAAGGAGGTCAGATATTGGAAAGTAGATTTTGCCTTTGTGTTAAACGACCTGTTGTTAACACTGAAAAATGTGATCTATTCAGGGGAAGTGTAAAAAATGAATTCTAGCACTTGTGCATTTATTTTCAGGAAGACATGGCCTCAAGGTGGCATCCAAGCATCTAGATGCCAAAAAAGGCAAATCTTGCACACTTTAATAGTGCTAGACTTTAAATTCTAATAGGAACAGTTAAATTGTTTCCTACCAAACAAGAATAATTTTAAGTCTGTCCAGGTTTGGACCAAGATAAGTCCTCAATAAATATCTGGAGGTAAATAAAGAGGCCTCAGGCTTTAGGCTCAGAAATTCCCTCTTCAGCCAGGTGTGATGGTGCATGCCTGTATTCCCAGTGGCTTGGGAGGTGGAGGCAGGAGGATCAGAGATCAAAGTCAGCCTCTGCAATTTAGTGCAGCCCTAAGCAACTCAGAGAGACCCTGTCTCTAAATAAAATATAAGAAAGGGCTGGAGATGTGGCTCAATGAGTTCCATCTCACATTTTTTAAAAAATGCCCTTCTTCTAAATAAAATATTTGCACTTATTCTTAAGCCAGTTCCCCCACATTCTCCCTACAACCTGATCTCCTTCTGAGTTCAGCTGCTCTCTCCTGTCTTTATCCATCTCTGTTTCCAAAAACCTTATACAGTATATAAATTGGCTGCTCAAGACCACCACATGGAAGAGCATCCATTTACCAGATCTAGAGCAGAAAGGCAATTAGACACAAACACACTGTAACCCTGCTCACCTGGACTCACTATCCATGTAAGCAAACACACAGCATGATAATTGTAATAATCAAGGAAAGAACATAACCCAGACTAGAGGATGAGGAAGCAAACATTATCATGAAGCAGTGCATCCATGGATTTTGCTGGAAGCTTTTCCTGAAATTCTTCTAGATTTGCCCTGCATTTACATTAGAAAATCAGGGGAGAAATATATATTTCTCTTGTTTTTTTTCATTCAGTTAGTATGTGTGTGTGTGTGTGTGTGTGTGTGTGTGTGTAATGAAATTATTAATGTCTTCGCGATGTTGAAGCACTGTTTCAAAGCAAAAATGATAGTATAATTTAGAAGAGATTGTGTATTTATGTGCATATAGACACACACATATTGCTTCCCAAAATTTTCAATAATTTCACACTTCTTTTGCAGTAGAAGTTTAGAATTGAGACCCATGGGTTTAAAATACTGCCTTGAGTATAGTGAAGAGCATTTGGTTACTTTCAGAAATGTACTTTGATTTATATAGTATTTTCTTCCATGATGATTTATTGGCTGCTTTAAGAACAAATGGAGAACAGTAGCAGCAGAGTTGAACTGAGTGTAGGTCCTGACAAGAGCCTCCACTCAACCACATGCTACATGTCATTTTAATCTTCTCTGAACCTGGGAAGCAACTAGACTAGACATAGATGGCTCATTGGGTGGGATTAGAAAACCTACCTTAAAACCACTATTACCTATGTAGATATATGCTTGTTTCATTTTTTAAAATAAGAATGCCTTAGTTTCCTTGACTTGTTTTGTTTCATCAAATAGCTTTAAGTGCAGTTGTGAAGATTTCTGTTTGTCCTGGTGATAACTTGAGAATTTAGAACAGATGGAACTGTTGCCTCTTTTCACAAGTAAATATGGAGGGACTCCAACAGAACACAGGTGGAGCTAAGAGTAGTAGAGGTGGGCCATCCACAGGATGCTACAAGCTCTTTTGTACTTGTGTCCTAAGAAATCTATGAAGCCAGTATTTCTAAGTAAAGCTACTCATCAAACTTTGTAAAGCCCACTGTGTCCTCTTTTCCAGGTACTCTTACATCACTGACAGCAGCTCTGTGACACAGACTCCCAGTGGTTGCTGGATTCTAATGTTTCCTTAGAATCTTTTTCTTTACAGGCTTATTGAAATTAGGCTCTTCTGAACTTGGTTTTTGTAATCTGCATGTTTTTGCAGAGGAGAGAGAGTGATCTTAGGTCAGTAGACTCACTCTTCACTTGCAAATGAGATTAGACACTGTGTCCTCTGTGATGAGGGTTCCTCAAGCTCAGATTCAACCAACTGCCAATCAGGAATGTCTGGGGAAAAAGCTGTGTCTGTACTGAACATGTAAAGAATATTTTCTTGTCACTAAACAATATTCCCTGAACAATATAGTGTAGCGAGTACTTACATAGCATTCATATTGTACTATATATTATAAGCCATTTAAAGATGATTTGAAGTCTACAAAAGAATGTGTATATTTTATATATAGATTCTACACCATTTTATATAAGAGACTTTATCATCCATGAATTGGGGTATCTGCAGGGGTCCTGGAACAAATCCTCCTCAGATACCAAAGGATGGCTGTATATATTTTTTTTAATTTTTAGTTATACATGGACACAGTATCTTTATTTTGTTTATTTATTTTTATGTGGTGCTGAGGATCGAACCCAGTGCCTCACATATGTGAGGCAAGTGCTCTGCTGCTGAGCCACACCCTCATCCAGAGGATGGCTGTATCATTATAAACACAGAGAGGCACCTGCATTATCCCCCACTCTCTCCCAAATTCCAGGCGTCCATATAGTTGAAATATCTCTATTTCTGTATGTATTTGGAGTTGTTTTAGTTCTAGGAACTTCTCAACCTTCCCCTATTCAACTGAAATCAGAAGGTAGTTGAGTACACAGAAAACACTGAGCACTAACAGAAGCAAAGCAAGGACAATTAATACTATAGATGATCTTTACATTCCACCAAAATGTTAAATGAAAGTGATTAAAATTCATAGCTGTGATTGTGAATCAGTCTTAACATCAAACAGATTTTAAATACTCAAGAACTTGTGCTGTGCTCAAAGCAGTAACAGTTAAGATTTTTTAGTGTGGTTATGGTCTGTAACAGATCATCTAGCTAAGAGAAACATTACATATTTAATTGACAATAATTTTGTTAATCTTGTAGAGAAGTGTAGATAGACTTGGATTATCAAAATGGTTCTGCCATAGTTTTCAAAAGGATTAGGCTGATGTTATATGGCACAGTTACTCACAACCCCTGTCACCTCTTAAGCAGGAATATTCAATAGTTGTTACTGACACTGCTTCAGGGTACTATAATCACTCCCCTTGACAGACCTCAGAGTTCTGTTCAGAGATCTCCAGAAATAATTATCACATTATTTGCTTAGGCTCTAAACAGACTTTCAAAATACATTTTATTCATTTGCTTAAACATATGAGAAGTCTGCCAAATGTAGTTGCTTTGTTTGTTGAGGCATTGAGCAAAATCTTAAAAATTAAAAGTTAAAGCCTTCCGGTCTGGTTCACTAGGTTTTCAGTGGACCACACTGAATGAGTGGAGCTGCCACTGAAGTTCACTGGATCAGGGAGGCTTTGAGTCCAGGAATATGGCAGCTAGCACATGAATGGTACTCAAAAACGTGTTCAATGACCGTCTTTGTGAACCTATTGGAGAAGTGAGGATAATGTGAGGTTATATGTAATAAATGTAGATTGCATATCTGTCTAATTTGTTAATCTATCTATCTGGGTGGGAGGAAGTGGGACTTCACTAAGACTAGGCTAGAAGAGAGTGAAGAGCTCATCTGTCATTCATGACTGGAACAGGTACACTCATCCTTGCTATACTGTGACTGTTCTGAATTCCCCAAGTCAAACTAGAAGATGGAAGTATTTTTTATTGTATCTCACATTTTCCTTTTGGTCTATTGTGCAACATATGTTCCTAGATGTTTTTTTTTTTTTCTCTACTTTCAGGTGGTTAGATGATGCTATCATTGATGAGATCACTCCCAAGCTGATTGCCGGTCGGCCTAATACTTACACCTACACCAAGGCCTTGGGAGAGATGGTAGTGCAGGAAGAGGGCAGCAACCTGAACGTGGCCATCATCCGGCCCTCCATCGTGGGAGCCACCTGGCAGGAGCCTTTCCCAGTGAGCTCACTCTGGATTCTCTGTTCAGCTGTCAAACCACAGCACCATTTCTTTCTGATGTTCCCCTTCCCCCTTCCTGTATTCTCCTTTCCCCCACCCTTCCCTCCTCCTCCTTCTCAGGGTGTATATAGCTGAGTGCAGCAAATCAAACACAAGTTCATTTTATTACAGCAAATTCCTTGTTAGCATCAGGATTTACCCAGCATGAGGCTCCTTTGGGAGTTAACTCTGACTGTCCAAGAGTTGGGTAGAGATCTTAAATTGCTTCTCACTAACTCTAGTCTCAAAATTCTAGGGAGATAGTTTCATTACTTGGCTTTCCCACTATGGTTTCAATATGTCAGAATGTTCTTTATGGCCAAATGGGTAGTATTGCAATTTCCAAGGTAAAAAGGAGTCACAAAGCCCACGGTTTCTCAGTTTAGGAATAATATTTTTAACCTCTCTCTATTGCTATATCCTTTCAAAAGTTACTTTTAACTATATCATCTTCTTCAGAGAAACTCTTTGAAGCTTCAGAGCTGGGTGTTCCATTACCTACTAGCAATGCAAACTTTTGAATTGTCTCATCTATAAATCATGGTTGATTTGACTCACTTTGGAGAGTTGATTAAGTGAGGCAATGCTTGAGTAGTGTTTTGTGTAATGCCTGGTCCTAGAAAAAGATCAATAAATATTAGATTCTTCCTCTTCCCTCTCCATTATACACACACATTTTGATTTTTACAGATAAAGAAAGAGACATAATAAGGTCAAACTGACTTGCTTAGGGCTTGGGAAAATGACATTTCTCCCTTACTTCCCAGGCACAATCTTTCCTGTAACACCTCCAACCAGGCCAACACATAAAAATATATATGTGGTATGGACTCCAAAGCTGTTAAAACTTTTCCAAGAAATGGGTCATTCCCCTACAGTTCATGTTTGAAATGTTTTCACATAGCTTAGAATCCAACCTCAGATGAGGAAAAAAAAAAGTTGTGTTTGATGAACTGGTTGGCGGATCACTATATTGAAGACAAGGTCCAGTTTAGCTCATGAGACAGTATGAAACTGCAGGAAAACATCCATACCTCCTTGTTATGAAAATCAGTGTTATACTGTAGCAATACATGTATGCCTGTGTTCACAGCAACACAGTTCACAATAGCAAAGTATGGAACCAGTCTAAGTGCCCATCAACAGATGAATAGATAAAGCAAATGTGGTATAAACACACAAAGAGTTTTATTCAGCTACAAAGAACAAATTATGTCATTTGCAAGAAAATGGATGGAACTTAAGCATTATTTTAAGTGATATAAACCAGGCTCAGGAAACCAGGGTTGCATTCTCCCTTATATGTCGGAGCTAGAGAGAGAGGAGTGGGGAGAAGCAGAGGAAATTCATGAAAATAGAAGGGAGTCTAATAGAGTGGAGGAAGGGAATTATGGAAGGCAGGAGAGAGAAAGGGAGGTAGTGGGGAACAAAATTGACCAAATTATGTGCATGTGCAAATATGCCACAACAAATTCCACTAATAAGCACCAATATAAATATTTAGAAAAAGAAAAATCAATACTTGCAACATTTTAATCCTTGCAGAATCAGAAAAAGTGTAGAAAGTAGTCAATGCTTTGCCAGTGCTTTGATCTTTTGGGGAATCTTAGAAATACTAAATTAAAATATTCTTTTGGCTGGGGTTTTGATGTTCTTCTTTGATATGTATTAAGATTAGACTGTAGATGTTCCAAAGATAAAGAAATTTTCTGAAATATGTAACCAATAGAGACCTTCTATTTTTTAGGGCTGGGTTGATAACCTAAATGGACCTAGTGGACTCATTGTTGCGGTAAGTATAATGAAGGGGAAATTATGTATAATTTCTTGAAAGGTTGTGGAGAAATAATAACAAAATTCTTAGTGCTGGTTTAGCTTCTTTGATCCCAAAACATAAATTTTACTATACTAATAATTGAAACAACGTATCTCCGTTTTGCTGATTGGAAACTAGAGACCATATGGAATCACTTTCATTCCGTGAGAATTTTATCATATGGAAAACATGTAATATGACATCATCAATTACTGTTGAGGGGTTTTATTTTGCAAAACCTTTGAACATCAAGAATTTTCCTTTAGTTGCCACCAGATGGGGATATTTCCTCCTCTGCTGTTTATTAATGGCTTGAATTAGTGCAGCAAATTGAGGATGCCGTAAAAACCTAACCCTCAAAGATTATTGAATTATTGACTTTAAAATATGCAAGAGTTTTATGGGTATGTGTATATAAAGAATATATTATGCATATACATGTACAAATATGTATCAATAACTATTTTTTAATACAAAAAGGTGTGGCAGATGTTTCAAATGTAAAAACTGGCAAACATGGGAAATGCTTTTTCAATCACAAACCCCTGGGAGAGGAGAAACACAGCTAGTCCAGGTGTCCATCTCCTAGCAGTTCACAGTGACCCAGCTGAGGTGCAGTGTTCCCCAGCTCACAGCGAAACACTTTAGAACCAGAACTACATCTTTGCTCTTCAGAGCACTAAATAGCAATTCAGTTATCTAAACGAGTTTAAATCTTATTAGGGATCACATGCTTCAAACAAGTCCTCAAACTAAGTCCAACATGAATTAAAATATAAATACGAGACAGTGAATCAAGTACGACTTTTTAAAGATAGTGACAATGAACTGCCTTCCGAGTTCCAAATTTTCAACCAGCTCCTCTTTCTGTTCCCAATCTGTCTTCAACTCTTTCCTTCTTACCATTTAGTTGGTGAATGTTTGGTCACCCATAATATTATTATTTTAACATGAGCCCAGAGTGGGTTTCATTACATTGCAAAGCTGCACATTTATTCAAATTTCCTAAAATTTTCCTAACACCTGCCTCCTTATATCTAAAGGAAGGGAACTAGTTACCAAAAAAAAAAAGAAATTGATAAAGAAAAAGAATTAGGAATATAAGAAAGTGCTGATAATTTTAAATCAATGCTAGAAATGTGCAAAGTAAAGCAAACCAACTTCATGAAGTCTATAAATTATAAACATGAATAAATTTCTAATTATTGCTTCTATATAACATCTATGATCTGTGGGTTGAAGTAAAATATTGGACAAAAAATAAATAATTGTGGTGTCTTTTCCCAAGCCAAAAAAAATTAAAAAATTGTTCTGTTAAGTGGTAAAATTTCATTTTCATTTTTTTTCAGATAAATGTTTTTTTAAATTTTTAGTGACTGCTTTTGCTTGTAATTGAATAAGGACTAACAGAAACCAAAGTCATTTAAGTAATGGTAAACAAATATCAGTGGAAAATCTGGGAAACCTAAATTCTTAAAATGTCTTACAAATTAATTTTTATATGAAAAACTATTTGTGGTGTTTGTTAATTAACTAAGTATATTAATTTCTCATGAATTTAAGGAATTTTATACCCAAAAGGAATCCAAGGACCACTCACACAGAGATGTGGGCACTTGAGATGAATTTGGCTGGGAAGGTTGGATAGGCTGGGAGGTCAAACAGAACAATAACTTAGAAGCAGTGAATCAGTGTTAACTATTTTGACTAACAGCACTAGTGTTTATATGCTGGTCCTATCTGCTACTTAAGTCCTGGCTTAATGTGTCTTATTTGTGTTATCATTTTACTTGTTTTCTTGTGCAGACTGGAAAAGGATTTCTTCGTTCCATGAAAGCTACCCCAATGGCTGTGGCAGATTTAATTCCAGTTGATACAGTTGTCAATCTCACCTTAGCGGTAGGATGGTACACTGCAGTTCACAGGTATGGGCTCTTAAGCAGGCTCTCAAAGATATGAGGAGGGTGAATATGTTAGGCACATTTGAAAAATACAGCACTTATTACAGAAGGCACAAATACTTGTGCCTTTGATTATAAAGTAATATGCACTTTAAATAGCTTAGCCCTGAAATTCTTGATAACCAAAAATGTTTACTTTATATTCAGTCATCTAAAATATAGCTTCCTTTTTTATGGCAAAGATATAAATGTTGATGAAATCACAACATATTTTATATTTCATTGAACTGCTCAGTTTCTTGGTAAATGCCAAAAGTCCAGACCACAGAATGTGGGGAAATTTCTGAATACAAAGGAGAAAAAAATAGATTGCTTGTACATTTGGTATTGTTAGTAAAGGATACACAGAATTAAATTCTTATGTAAACTCAGACACATGTACTCCACAATATATCATAACTATTTGACACCACTCTCTCTCTTTCACACACATAAACACATGTTTACACACTCACACAAGCTCACACACACATACACACACACACACACACACACATTTTCCTTGTCACCTTCCATTTTGTGTATTAACCCAAAGAAAGAACAAAAGATGAAAGTATTGCATAGGTTGCTTTAGTCGTGGGAATTTTTAAGGCACCTTGTCTTGATGTGATTTTTCCCTTATCTTTGTATCATCAGTTCTGCATTTTGTTGTTATATAATTTTTATTTCATCTTCTAGACCTAAGCCAACCTTAATCTACCACTGTACATCGGGAACTACCAATCCCTGTAATTGGGGCAAAATGGGTAAGTGCCTCTAGATGTAACTATATGATTACTACTAGTCTTTGCTTGAGGGGGAAAAAAAATCAAGACCAATGAAATGTGTCAGGGAGGAGAAGAAAGAAAAATAATAATAATAATTAATAAAGGGAGAAAATGATTGCAATTTTGAAATATGTCATCATTCTCTGGAACATCCTGTGGTGTACTAAGCAAGCGGTGGGAACACCAACACAATTCCAAGGAATAAGGGGTCTGTTGGCCACAGAGATTTAAAAAACAATAATAAAACCTAGCAAAAGTTGGCAATTACAAACAATGTCAGGGATAAGACACTCTTTCCTGCTGAAGCAATTCCTAGAAAAACCCACGCAGGCCTTTCTCTCTTGGGGCATTGCTGGGAATTTAAAATAATCCGTGACTGAGAAAATATAGGAAAGTCGAATAATAGTATTCCTTTGTTATTGAGTCAGTGATATTCCTCATTAGTTTATGCAGCTTGCCTCTCTTGAGGGTGTAGCAACTGTAATCCTGAAAATATCTTGAAATTGATTCAATTTTAATGTTGAAGAAAGTCTGAAAGTTTATATCATCTATCTAGCTGTTGTTTAGATACTAGACAAAGTAAAAGCAAAAATCAAGTGTATTTCATTGGTTAGAATATGATTTCTAATTCAGAGTGCTCAGTTGTGCCATTCTAGTTGCAAAGTTATTACTTCTGTGAAAATAAAATAAAATTACCTACTATTATCAGAGCTCTTTACACCATATATACAGTTGTTTAGACACATATCTAAATCATTTTTACCCCTTTCAGTGCAAATAACATATCTTACCCCTTTCAGTGAGAATAACCACTCCACTAGCAACTCATAAAAATGAGTATGAGGGCTGGGGTGTGACCCAGTGGTAGAGCACCGGCCTAGCATTTGGGAGGCCCTGGGTTCCGATCCTTAGCACCACAAAAAAATAAATGAAATGAAGGTATTGTGTCCAACCACAACTAAAAACTAATTTTAAAAAAATGGGTACGAATTTCTGTGAGATTAAAAAAAACGTCAGTTTTCTTGGATCCTGGGACAAGATCGTAGGAAATGTCACAATGTCATGGTAGCTATATTTAAAAATTTTTTTTAGTTGTTTTTTTTTTTTTTATTGTTGGTCGTTCAAAACATTACATAGTTCTTAATACATCATATTTCACAGTTTGATTCAAGTGGGTTATGAACTCCCAATTTTACCCCGTATACA